CCAAAAAAAAAAAAAAAAGTTACAGTAAAGCCACCTGTAAAAATATATAAATCAGACAGTCTAAAGAGTCTGATTACCTTACTGCTGGAAAATAATTGAAGATTTTAAAGACTAAAATTAGGATGATCAAGTTCAACTTTAGAAACTTACAGAGTGCCATTACTGGAGGGGCAGATTTTGGAAGATATGTTGGTCAATTAAGAGATTCCTGATATGTGAAAATAAAAGATAGTACATGATGTCACTATTGCAGGAGCACAGGCCCACTAGGTCATGTCCACCTGATAGTCACCACCAATTGTGGTATGTGGCTTGGTTGCCAAGATTAGACATCCATGCAAGCCACCTTAGATGGTGAGGAATCTAACTTAACTGTTTAGGGTCTGGTATCTGGAATCAGAATGCTTTGAGTTTGAAACACAGCTCTCACTTAACTACCTTGGACAAATACTTAAATTCTTTATACTTTGGCATCCTCATATGTAAAATTAGAATAATGATGGAATTTATAAAGTTCTTGAGGACTAGATGAGATATCTGTGTAAGACACATAGAAACATGCCTGGCACTCAGTGATGGTGGGGATCAGTTTTACCATATTATAGATTGTAGCCTTAACTTTACTTGAATATAGAGTTCTAGTTTCTAACACCTGGTTTACAATAATTTCTAGCTCTCTTAGTGCAAATTCTAGAGCAAAGTCATCTGGCTCACCTTGGGTTTTCACCCAGGTCAAGTAAGCTGTAACTAGGAAGTAGGGTATCCTGCACAATGTGACCAGCTATGCCTGTCCTTTTAGCAGGACTTCGGGCAATGCCGTGGCTGGGCAGATTACCTGGGTATGTAGTCCACTAAACTGACACATAATAGAACTTAAATTTGTTTGATTTTATCTCTTACAGTTTTCGTAGTTTCCAAATATTTTGAAATGAATCAAAGTAATGTTATTTTTTTTTTTTAAGAAGGAAAATTCCATTCGTCTAAATTCATTTCCCTGTGTTATAAGGTACTTTGACTCTCTAATAGGTTAATACTTGGGGCCTATACAGGAATCTGCTTTATTTTTCAGGTTACAGAGTACCTGTATGCAAATAAAATGGCTTTCCAATACCCAGAACCTGAAGACAAGGCCAAGTATGTTAAAGAAAGAATATGGCGAAGTGAATACGATTCCCTTCTGCCAGATGTGTATGAATGGCCAGAATCTGCATCACGCCCTCCCCTGATCACAGAATAGAAGCACTCCCACTGTGAAGTATTTTCCATGCTTCAGAACTCCTCTTTTCAGACAAAAAAAGATATAATGTTCTCAGATTTCTGGTGTTTTATGTTATTTTTTTCTCCCCCACCACTCTGCATGAATTACTCTTCCCTGTGGAGCTACCCATCTGTTGGGGATAGATGTGTTGTTGATGCTCACCAATACCTTTCAGTCAAATGGCTGTGATGCTTTAAGTCTAATTTATAATGCATACCACATTCTAAGAGATGTTAAAAATGTGTTTGTAAATGTCTTTACTTACATGTATTCTTATTCACACTTGGCAAAGTATTTGCTATTCACTGTTATAGGTAATAATCTTCTCTCACCTACTTCTTTTAAGGCTACTAAAATAGAAACTTACTTTTATGGATATGAGTACAGAATTTTGAGAGGAAGCCAAATTTTAACCAAATTCCAAGGAAAAGCTGTTGCTGTCTAAAAATGTTCCTTTATATCTGCTTTATCTTGCCTTCATGTTATGAAATTCTTTTATAGTAGTCAGATCTAGGAAAATATGAAAATTCTACCCTATTGTTTGTTTTCTGGAAGTAAATCAAGGCTTCACAATAACATTATGAGAGAGTAGTGGGAACCACTGCTGCTTTTAGACAAATAGTCATTCTTTTCATCAATAGTCTATAACAATCATAGTGTAACATTTCTATTTAATAAAAGTAATATCTTAAATTTTATTGCCTCAGTTATGCTCTCATTGTTCAGCTAGAAATTTAGGTTTGCTTATTATGAAAAACATGTTTTCATTACTTTTAGATGATTCTAGGAGGGAATATAGGATATTTAAACATAAATATACGTGTATTATGACTGCTGTCCTATGACTTTTAAGAATAAATTAGTCATGCATCACATCTATATAAGTCATATTTAACTAGAGAGACTATACCCTTATTCCAACAGTGATGTTCTTTCTTTTTTATTTTTTTTGTTACTTTTTTTTTTAGACAGCGCCTCAAGCTGTCGCCCTGGGTAGAGCGCTGTGGCATCACGGCTCACAGCAACCTCCAACTCCTGGGCTCAAGCGAGTCTCCTGCCTCTGCCTCCCAAGGAGCTGGGACTACAGGTGCCTGCCACAACGCCCAGCTATTTTTTGGTTGCAACCATCATTGTTGTTTGGCAGGCCCAGGCTGGATTCGAACCTGGCAGCTCAGGTGTATGTGGCTAGCGCCTTAGCTGCTTGAGCCACAGGTGCTGAGCCTATTGTTCGTTTTTTGAGACAGGGTCTGTTCTGTTGCCCTGGTTAGCGTACAGTGGGGTCATTTTAGCTCACTGCAACCTCAGACCTCTGGGCTCAAGTAATCATCCTGCATCAGCCTCCCATGTAGGAGTGCCTGGGACTACAGATGTGTGCCACCATGCTTGGCTAATTTTCCTTTATTTTTTATTTTTGTAGAAATGGGGTCTTGCTCTTCTCAGGCTGGTCTCAAACTCCTGACCTCACACAGTCCTTTGATGTAAGCCTTTCAAAATGCTAGGATTATAGGCCTGAGCCACTGTGCCCAGCCTAGTGATGTTTTTTACTACTTGAAATAGTTTTGGAATGTTCCTGTGATACATTTATTTGAGTATCATTAGTAGGGACAACTCTTTTCTCTGTTGAAGGTAAATTTAATGTTTTTAAACACCAAAATTAAAGTTAAGTGAGGTATTGAATAAGGTAGGTGTTCAGAACAGGAAATGCCATTTTTAATCCCAGTAATAAGGGTAATAGTTAATGGATGAGAAGTTTTCTTCTGTTTGGCCTTCATACTGGTGAGCTCTAGAGGAAAATCCAAAAGCGTTTTGAGACATAGTATTGCTGTGGATTTGCCTACCGTGGCTACTTTAAGGGCACAAAACTTTGAAATGCTCATTCTAGGATAGTAACACCAACAAATTACTCACAGGTATACTTATTTCTCTACAGAGAAAAAAGGGCTTCATTTTGTTGTTCATTTTTTTATTCTGAGTAAATTTAGTATTTTAAGAATGCTTGAAGTGGCATTGCCATCTGGAGTATGGGAAGATGGAGTTGGTTAATCCAGTTGGTAAATACATACATATTTACATGTCTACAGATAAGTAATGTCAAAAGTCTTTTTCATAAAATTGGGAATTAGGTCTCAACTGGTTTCTTTTAATTAAAGATGAAGAGCTTTATGTTTTTCATGTTACCTTTGTCAAAACAAAATCACCCCTAAAAATAATCCTTTGTGAAAGCTTGATTTAAGTTTAACATAAGAGTAATAACTATAATTCTGTTTTTTGCTCAGTGCTTATTATAGACAGGGACATGCTGAATTTTACTAAGATGTTTGCTTACTATCTATGTCTGGTATAATCCTAATGGAAATTGTTAATGGAAATTATTAAATATTTTAAGGGGAAAAAAAGCTAAATGTCATCTAGCCTGCCTGTTCAGATAAGACAGAAATTTTACATTTTTTTAAAACTACCTATTTTTATTATTTACCAACCAGTATTTCATTAAGTATCAACTATTGGTTGTAAATTAATACTTAAGCTCAGGCTCCGGGTAGGAACTATTAGCATTAAGGAAAGGGGGAGGGAGCCAGAATGGCATCAAATTGGAAAAGAAACTAAAACATTTGGTCTTCCTATGGGAACTGTTATCTAGCAAGAAGGTAATTATTTTGAAAAACAGCAGTAAAGAATCTTTCATTCTTACGGAGTTTTTTGTTTGTTTTTGTTCTTTTTTTTTTTTTTTGGTCACGTTGGATCTGGGTAGAGTGCCGTGGTGTCATCAAAGCTCACAGCAACCTTAGACTCTTGGACTAGAGCGATCCTCTTACCTCAGCCTCTTGAGTAGCTGCGACTAAAGGCGTGTGCCACAACGCCCGGCTAATTTTTCTATTTTTAGTAAAGATGGGGTTTTGCTCCTGCTCAGGCCGGTCTCAAACTCTTGAGCTCAAGTAGGCCACCCACCTGAGCCTCCCAGACTGCTAGGATTACAGGTGTGAGCCACAGAGCCCTTTCATTCTTTTGAAGAGAGAAGAAATTCTGTAGATTAATGAGTGTCAGTAATTAGGAAAAGGAAAGAATACATGTTTTTCTAATCTGCCACCACCACCTGTAGTGTGAAACAAATTGGTTAACTAGCAAGGGTAAGCCTTACTGCAATAACTGGATAATTTTAGTTCGAGATTTTGGTTAAAATGTTTTGAACAATTTATTCTTAACCAGGAGGTTGCTTCATAATCACTGTGAAGCTTCTTTAAAATGAGATGTCTCAGGTGGTGCCTGTGGCTCAAAGGAGTAGGGTACCGGCCCCATATGCCTGAGGTGGCAGGTTCA